CAAAAACCTATGGAATGAAGAAGATGGAGGAAAGGAAGAGTGCACAGCATGTGCATTATAGAAATCTGGCAGACCGAATGCCTTTCCAGCCATGATTTGGACAAGCTAGCAAGAGGGGTGTCCTTCCAAGCCTCTTCTCCTTTTCTTCATCTCTGGTAACAGATCTTGGGGTTTGGCAATAGTTTAGGTTTTTTTCTTCCTGCAGAGTGTGTGTGTGTGTGTGTGTGTGTGTGTGTGTGTGTGTGTGTGTGTGTGTGTGTGTGTGTGTGAAGAAAAGCAGACTCTGTCCAGGTGGAGATGAAGAGGGGACTTGGCAGTTTTCCTAAAGTGACTCAGACACACCACAGTAACAGCTCTCGCTGCAATTTTATTTCACTTGAGAAAGACTTCCTCCAAGCCACATGAGATATCAGCCACCCACCCACCCACCAAGCTGGACCTGCATTTATAAGCTGAGGGCCCACACAGCCTGGCTGCAGAGACCTGTCGGGGCATGCCTGCCCCCACCCCTGAGGCCCCCACCGTGTTCTGCAGGGCAGCTGAGGGTGAGGGGACAACAGTCCAACTTGGGAAATGGAACCAGAGCTTGGCCTGACCAACGCCAAGGAATGCTCGTAGGATCTCAGTCCCAGGCTGGTTGTTTTATAAATCTCTCTCAATTGTATTATTTTGGTGACAAAAATGAAGGAGCTTTGTAAAATTTTTAAAAATTATGAATCATATCAAGTAGTTGTTTACATTTCTTGACAAAATAGGAACTATGGCAGCAGAATCAAATTGGCAAAATCCTTAGGTTAAATAGGCAATAATTAGGTCTGCTGTTTGGCCTTCCGTAGTAAGAGAAGTGGCTGTAGTGTTTAGATATGTGTTTGGTCTTGCTTCTTGTACTGCATTTTTCAATAAACTTAAAAAAAAAAAAAAAAAGACTGAATCTGAGGATTGATCGACTTTTAAGGTTCCCTTCCAGCAATTTGGGAAAAATTAGACACGGATGGGGAAGACCCAAATTCAAGCCATTTTCTAAAGTAAGCTACCTACATTGGGCAAAATGCAGCTTCAACATTGTACAAAAGGATTTCTGAGAACTAGTGAGTGTTTTTTGCCAACTGGAAGGTTTTGCAGCATAGACCATGAATAGGAGAGAAGGGGGGCTTCTCAAACCTGTATGGAGAGGGCCCAGACCCTCAGCATAAAGGCATTGGCAGTAGTGTAGCCCTAGTGGGATGTACCCTGCATGACTGAGGGAAGAAAGGGGTTGAGGTGGTAGGAGTTAAAGGCTCAGTCCTCGTCCCAGATGGCAGTGAAGGGTCTCAGCTCTACCCCATTGCCCATCTTCCTGGAGGCCCAAACCCCCATCACCAGTGCCACCTTGGAGGGAACCTGTCACAGCCTATCATATAGCAACCTACCTTCCAAGTACTAGGGGGGTCCTTGCCCACCACTTTGGGTTTGCCAAGACACCAGATGCATCTCCCAATCACTCTGGCCTGGACCTCCAGCCCCCTCAGGTACCTTTCCAGGGCTAAGGCCACTTCAGAGGCTGAAGGAATTCCTGAGGCCGAATCATGCTGGTCTCCAGACTCCACATTAAAACATATTCTCTCCAGCTTATTGAACCTTTGTGCAGTTGGCATTTCTCTGCCACTTCTCAGGATGCCTTAGCAGCTGCCAGGGCCAGAGCATCCATTCCCCAGCCTGGGATGTGACCCAAGCATCTACTAGACATTGGGACTCCTGGTCCAGTTACCATGGTCCATGCTGCAGCCTCATAGCAGGCTGTCCTCAGCTCCTCAAACCCGGGCCCCGAAGTCCCCTCCTCCTCCTAACTTGGCATAACCCCCTAGACTGAGGCGATCCAGTCGTGGCCAGCTTCGGTGAGCACAGTCCCGAGCTGCTGGGGCCCCAAGCAGGAGCTCTCCAAGGCCCAGATCCAGAGACTTGGAGTGTTCAATGCAGGAACCAGAGGGCTGCACGGTGATAATCACATGGCCAGTCTGGGTCCGTGGCCCCCAGGGTGGGGGCAGCCCCGAGCCCTTCAGCGGGTAACTGTTGAGCAGGGCAGGTAACCCCAAGCGAGGATTAGCGGGCTCTGAACGCAGACTCCGCACTGATGGGACAGGTGAGGTACCCCGACGCGGGGACAGGTCCCAACTTTCTGGTTCCGCACAGCCTATGGCTCGGGGAGTCCTGGGGCCGGGGCTGGGAAGGAGAGCGCAATCCCAGCCCGGGCCGTCGGGGGACCGGAGCGCCTGAGCCCGCAGCACCCCCTGGCGAAGCCGTCGCGTTTCCAAGTCGCGGTTCTCGTAGAGCAGCGTGTTGGCGCAGATGAACACAAACAGGCCGACGCCCATGACCACCGGCCCGAGGAGCCGCAGCCGCTCGTGCGGTCCGTGAGCCCGGCCCGCGCCGCGACCCTCGCGTCGCAGCTCGCTCACGGGGGGCGCGCTGGAGTTGGCAGAGCGGGGCCCTGGGGCCCCGGTGCGGTGCGGCCAGTAGC